AAATCGGTAACCATTAAACTGTCAAAGAATTTGGTCACAGTTGTTACGCGTTATTAAAATGACACAGCAAAAAAAACTTACCATTTCCTAAAAGACTAAAGGCAGCATTCTGCTGAGCTGCACCCTGAAGAAGAGCCGCAATTGCCGCAATAGACGATGCTGGGTTTCCAATGTTCAAGCACGGTTGCGCGGTTTGAAGCAGCTGAAAAAAAAAACTCGTAACTTTTAACTCAAAAACACATACAGGTGTACTTTAACCAGAAGTAGAGCTACCTGTTGCAAAGAATTTGTAAGAGTTGTTGGTGTTTGTAGGGAAGGAGAAGTAGGTGTCCCACACTTTTTTGCATCTTTTTCTTTCTGGGTGTCAGCAAATTTTACAACTATCGGTGTTGAGCAGCCCTACAAAAAATACTCATCACTTAGCCTTATTGGATTCTTTAACGTATCACATAAAAAAAAAAAGACTATCAGCTTAGTATGAAATCCTCCGTAATACCAAACCTCTAACCAAGTGTAGCACTTAAGGCATGTGAATATTTTGTTTTTTCCAGCGTGCATTCATGCCAAACGAACGATAATGAACAAGATAAGTAAAGATATGAATAGAGAGGTTGCAACAAAAAGTAAGATTATAGAACAAAAAAAAAAAAGGGAAAGTTTTGATTCGGAGAAAGAGTGCTGAAAAATAAAAAACCAAATCTTCAAAAAAGTTCTCTTCAAGATCTCAAAAAATCTGATAAACCAATCCTTGCTTGAGAACTTGACTTAAAAAAAAAGAACGACACTGCTGTAACATCCTCAGCAAACTGAACAAAAACTGCATTCTTCTTTTGATTACAGTCAAATAAAAGCCAACAATGTAACAAAGACTGGGTTGACTATCGTAAATGCGAAAAATTATACGGAAGTTGATGACAAACGACAACAAACACAAAACAAAGGCAATTTATAGAATAGATGAGAAAAAAGATCCCACAATAAAACTCAGATTGAAAAAAAACGGAAATGAATTCACAAAAAACAAAAAAGATAGAGAGTGATACCTCCATAGTCTGTGTGTGGTGCATCTGCTTGATGGCTTGCTGAGCACACGAACGATTCACAAACGTCACAAAAGCACAGCCTGGAACATTTTACAAATAACACTAATTTACCAAGGACTTCAGCTAACGGTAATCACAAAACATAACACATATATGCAGTACAAACGGTCAGAAGATAACAACGGGAGGCCTAGATGAGTCTCGAAAAAAAGCTGTATGTCAATCCTTCTTGATTGGTTTGATTTGCAAATCATGAGCAAGGTTTTTACCAGAAACAAAGCATGACTCTTCTGAACTAAGCATTAAATAAAAGTTAAACAAAATAAAGAAATAACGCAATATAACAAACCGCCCGCCTTCTGATTTCAAACATGAAGAACTTTTGGGAACTAATGATAAAGGGTTCGAAATAAATTGTAAAACAAATCAATTGTTTTTAACCGCTTAGAAATGACAACAACTGGTAAAAATATCCCAAACGAATAAGCTGAAAATTAGAAGCAAACATGCATGACTTTGCTGGAAACAGAAATATTAAGTACAGTATGAACTTTCATGGCAGAAAGAGCAGGCCCATAAACGATGATATCATTAACACGCCAGACTTTAAAGACAGAATAGCTCAAGCCACGCTGTGTCTTGAAAACGCTACAAAACCTTGAACAAATACATGAACTAAAAGAATGTAAAAAAGCCAGCTAAAACAAAAAAAAGCCACTCAGTAACTACCCGTGTGTGAGCTTATTTATACGATTTTCCAAAAAAAAACTAAAGAAAAATCCAAAAAGAGTAATATTATGAGTTGGCTACACATTATTTACTAGTCCAAATTATAGTTCATAAAGAAAACAACTAACCACGACTCTTGCCTTCAGCGTCTTTAAGGACGGTGCAGTCTTCTATATGACCAAACTCTTTGAACATTCCTCGCACGTCATCTTCAGTTAACTTCTTATTAAGCATGCCAACAAAAAGCTTTCTTTCTAGAAGATAAACAATATCAAAAGCATGTATTTCAATAAATAGTGCCTGCAAACCACATCTAAGATTACAGAGAAAAAACAAAAATTAAAAAGTTTCAAAAAAATAAAGGTGTGTTCTTCTACGTAATCAATAAACGATACCATTTCTGTTCTCACTATCTGCGGGCTTCATTTGTACAGGATGATGCATTCCTGGTAGCACTCGAATATTATGAAGTGCTGCCTGAGCTGCAATGGCGTCCGCACGTTTATAAAACGTTACGAAACAGCAACCTAAAAAAATAAGATTTATTGCAACTTTAAAAACACTTCAAATGAACTGCAGATCAAATAAACAGATGAACCTCATTATATCCTAAAAAAACTGAAGAAAACTCTGTACTGACCACGGCTAGCCTGCGTTGCTTTATCCCGTAAAACGTTCAACTGGTATACAGAGCCAAACTGTTCTAGCAGCTCACGGCATTCGTCTTCACCCCAGGAGCGAGGAATCTAAACAATTATCCTAACTTTTTTACACAATACCGCAAATTTATTTCAAATATGGCTAATTAACAGAATATAGCCGTAGATTTAAACAACAAGAGAGGTCGCAGTAAAGATAACTGCAGCCAAGTTATCTCTGTAAAAATGCTGAAAATTTCCTCGTTTTTTCGCGATCATGTTTACCTCAATAATTTGTATCTTCATAATTTCTAAATGCAATTTAAGTTTTATTCATGTGAGATCATGAATGATAAAACCTTCACAAAACTTGTTGTACGAGTGATTGAAAAGCACAAAATGACGAGAGAATTGGCGAGAAATGAGAAATAAAAATTTGAAAAGAAAA